AAGTATATTACAAGTGTCACTACAAATGGCTGCTATGGGCCTTGCCTATACACAGAACAGGCCTTAGGGGGAACATGGCTAGTGACAAAGCATTGGCATATCAGAATGTTGGCCATCCTCCCTTTCTTTACTTAATGTGGTCTTGTTTTGGATAGGCAGGCACAAAGCACAACTTCAGCCACCTGTCAGATTTATAAGTGGTATCCTAAGAGGCATTCTTCAAATAAAGTATTTTTACATAATGTTTTAATGTTAAAAAAAAATCAGGTAGGGAACAGGTGGCAGATAAACATCAGGATAAGCGTCCACAAACACAGGGGCACTCCTTACAGATGCGACATTAACCCACACTTGTTATCTAGGGACTGAGCTGTGAATTCAGATTTTACTTGAAATACAGTATATAGGAATAACTGTGTTATACATTACTCCAAGGTGATGAATGGAACAGTTTGAAAATTTTAAAGCTAAATAAGTGATATAACTGTAATATTTTTAAGTCTGTCTCCATAATTTTTCTTTGCATTCAGATCTTTACTACATTGCAAGAAACCATTAAATGTTTCATGACAGCGGGTGTATTTATTAGCTCCTCTATGGCTTTTTTTAAAAAAATGAGCTGCGGAATAACAAAAGGTTTGATGAAAAAGCATTTGACCTCTTTCACATTTCCTGAATATTTGCAGGTCTTTACCACTGAATATAACCAGAGCTTTCTGTAGGTCCAACTGGTAGAGAATCTAACTAAACAAAGAGCTTGCTGATTGTTTCACTTATTACACAAAAAATCAATTTGCAGTATACCAGTGTGAAAAAGTAATAATTCTCCAAATTCAAGGAATTTATAAACTGAATAAATTCCACAAAATGTGAGATTTTTTTAACTCCCTCTCAATCCAGAAAAAGTTATAAAAACAATTCTACAGTTGTGAGGCTCCACCAATTCAAAGATGGAGAAGATAACAAAGAACTTTCCCAAAAGTTGTTGTCCTGACAAAATAACTCCAACTGCATGGGATTAAAATAATCTAGAAAATATTAGAAGCCCCAGAATAATAGTGTTCTGCTTCACTTTTGCTTTAGCTTAAGTCGATGTTCAAGACTGAACCACCCAAAAATGCTGGGTAAAAATGGGATTCAAGGAAAATTAAAAAGGCAGAAGATATAGGAGATGACCAGGCTGAGCCCGAGGGGGAGGTGTCAAACGCATCATAAGTCAGGAGTCCCTTCGTGCCCTCAAGAGATCTAAGTCCAGCCTACCTTGGGTTCCTTAGATTAATGTCAGGCGACCTGGAAATCAGGAGATTCAGGCAGTTCAAATGAGTATAAAGATTTATTGCAAGCTTAAGTTCTCTGCAAGTATTTTACCAAGTGACTGTTAAGGGAAATTCCTTCTATTCTAAAAATAGAAAGGAATTCAAGGTGGGCTGTACTTAGATCTCTTGCAGGTGCAAGGGACTACTGACGTATGACGTGTGTGACCCCTCCCTCGGGCTCAGCCTGGTCATCTCCTACAGAAACCATTGTTCATTAAAATACCATTGCTCATCTCAAGTTTGCTCCAAAGTTCCTAAATGACTCTTCAGTCTTCATCAGACCGATGAAGCAAGAGTGGTACGTTGTGGGCTAAATGGGTATCATTGTGTTTCCTGGAAACCAGTCAGTCAGAATGTTATGCCAGCTTTCAAGTAGTTCCATGATTTGGACACACTCTGCTGATTTAGGGCCTGGATGACAGAACCATGATATCTACTTTCTACTAGGAAATTCTACAGGAAAATATCAAGCTCTACAACCTACCCATCAGCTGAAGCGCACATCATGTAGCAAGACAATGATCCCAGTCGTACAGGCTAGTCTAAGGAGAATGCACGATGAACAAATTCAGGATGTTGGAATGGTCAAGTAAGAGTCAGACCCAAATCCCTGTGGGAAAACCTGAAACAAGCAGTTCCTGCTGGAAAACCAAGTATTACTGAATTAGTCATGGAGCAGTGAAGCAAAACTCTTACACAAGATGTGAGAGACTAATAACAGTTGCAGGATTATTTGCAGAGATGTAAACAAAAAAAAAAAAAGGCATAGCCTGTTGGCTGAATCAAAGTAGGGAATTACTGTACTTTTTCAAACTGCAGGATGACTTTGTTTCTGAAATAAATGGAAAAAGTACCAAACTTTGGTCACTTAGATTCCTTTTATAAAATAATAGGACTTATATGAAAATTCAAAATGGGGAAAATACTTTTTCAGGGAAATTTTACATTCCAGTGGTTTAGAGAGCAAGGTTGCAGTTGAATAAATCTCTTTCCAAATTTTGTATATGATGCTTATTTTTATCAATGAAGAGAAACTTTATTCTAGAAGCTTGAATTTTCTGCCTTTTGTCTTTTATAATTTCCGAAAACTTAAAACTCCAAAGATGTAAGCATGAAAGAACTTGTTAAAAAGAACTATGAGGTTAATGCATGTCTCTTTTCTATCTTTTTTTCTATTTAATAAATACCCTGCTTGTGATTTTTTTCTTGCTCTTTCCAATTTAATGTGAAATATTGTGAAGAAACTGCCAACAATTTCTTAATGAAATTAGATGCTTCTATAAATTATGTTTAATTAAAATTGTGAAAATATAGCTTTCACAAACCCGATAAACTTATTGCATTGAGTCCCATCTTTTTAAACTAAGCTGAGGATTCAGGCTTCATAATCTCATACAGTGTAAAACTTTCTGTACTGGGTCTAAGTTATGTTATTAAATTCTTGGACTAAGTGAGAAAGGATACCTATGTGAATCTTGTCAACAGCCTCCAGTTAAAATAATCCAAATTCATATCAGCGCTATTGCAATAAAATTTATTTACAAATTAATCCCGTTGCTCTATTAATTATTTGTGTAATTACTGCAATTCTTCCCACCTTGTTTTCAGTATTTCTTAATCATTAAGCCGGAAGCCTGACAGCAGTGCCAGCCCTGGCATGATTCTTTTTGACTAAAACCTTGTAAATTAACACAATTAGCACAGCATCATGCTGCTAATTAACTTCCTGTGTCTGGTACAGCGGATGTGCAAACAAGGAATAGGGATTCAGCAGGGAATAAACATGCCACTCTGTTGCCAAACTGTATGTTGTGTTCCGTCTAGCTCAGCAGGGCTAAGACAGTCACGCCAAGATGCTGGAGTCAGGCAAAGAAGAGCTAAATGAAGAAGCGCAAAATAGGAAGAGTACAGACTGTTAAGTAAAAGATAGTAGTAATTTATCAGAGAAACTCTGTCATCCATGTTTGATGTATCACGAGGCTTTTTATCTGAGCATCTGTTCCAAATAACAGCAAATAGGGGAAGAAGGAAAGGAAAGGAAAGGAAAGGAAAGGAAAGGAAAGGAAAGGAAAGGAAAGGGAGGAAGAAAAGGAAAGAAGGTTATTTTAGTGCTGCCTACTAGGCAGAACAGTCTAAGGCAGTGGTTCTCAACCTGTGGGTCGGGACCCCATTTGGGGTCGAATGACCATTTCATGGGGGTCGCCAAACAACGCAGTCCGCCATTTTCCCCCCTTTTCCTTAGCTGTGCTACTCTCTTTTATTCTATTGGCTTTTGAAAGCCAATAGAATAGACTCTCTTGAATAGAGTCTAATTCTATTGTCTTTCAAAAGCCAATAGGAATTGTCCAGGCTGCTCTGCCCTGCTGAGCCCGCCAAAAGTCCCATTCTGCAAACGGTGCTGTACCAGTTGAGTAGTCCTCGACTTACAACCGGTTGGGGGGTCACGGCATTAAAAAGGTTGAGAACCACTGGTCTAAGGTGATATGATAAGATGAGATGATAAGGTAAGATAAACTTTATTGCCACTTTTTCTGTGAAATGGCACACATTAAATGAAATTCTGATGCCTGCTTTCAAAAGAATATGAATACACCGGGGGGGGGGGGATATGAAGGATTTTAAAGGATTTTTTTCTGATGAACTCTACCTGCCTTGTCTGGTACAGGACTAAACTAAATCCAAATTAAGATAATCTCTTCTCTGTTTTGGCAAGCTCATTTTGCCAGAGCAAGTGTTGATTCTCTTCTGGTAGCCAGCATTTGTTCCATTGCCCCCCCCCCCCCTTCAAACTGTTAGTAACTGACTTACATCTACTTCTCTTTTCTCTCCCCCCCCCATTCCCTGTTGGTTTGGGGGAAATTGGAAGAGAATGGGAGGAGAAAGAAGATAGACAAGTGTTGCTGGTCTTTGCTTTTTATCCCCCCCACCTCACACTCCCCCCCCCCCCCGCTTCCTTCCAGCGCCTCAACAACAGAACTCTGACGCAGAGAGCAGCCTGTTGTAATTCATACCAAGTTGTAGGCTTTGTGTGATGAAAGCAATGGAGCGCTGCCTGGGAGATTGCTTTGCTGCACTCCACGAAGCAGATTTGAAACTGTCGTGGACCACTTTAGATGAGAGTTGGATTATGGAGTGACCTGCTATGTCTGTGTCATATGGTTCTGCACAGGGTGCATTATACTGTGCTAACTAGGTGTTCAGTACCAAATGAGAAAGGTATCCTAGATGTGATTTGTCAGCTGTAGCTTACGGAAGGTTGTTTTTTTTCCTCCTCTATCAAAATTTAAAAGTGCAATGAGGGAAGATGGTACGCTTCAGGTGTCGAAGAACAGATTGTCTAATAGCAGATCCATGCTTGGGATACGAAGAAAGTCCATGCGTGACCCTTTAAAACAAATCCGGCTGGATAAAATGTTTTTCTTTGACTCTCTCTCCTCTTTCCAAGTTAGCAAAACACATTAGAAGGGTAGGTGTATCCTTCCCCCCCCCCCAAGAAAATGAATCACTGGCAGTATTTTTTTACTATTCTTTTACAGATAATTTGCATGTCATCTGTTGATTTGAACCTTACAATTCTGCATATAAATGAAGAAATCAAGTTGATACCCTCAGATATCACTGCACTTTTGTCTTTTTTTTAAATCTAATTGCTAATTTTGCTTTTCCTCCCTCCCAAACCCTTAGGCTTGAAGATGCAGTGGACGCCAGAACATGCCCAGTGGCCAGAGCAGCACTTTGACATCACTTCAACCACCCGCTCTCCCGCCCACAAGGTAGAAGCTTATCGTGGACATCTTCAACGCACCTATCAGTATGCCTGGGCTAACGACGACATCTCTGCTCTCACAGCCTCAAATCTGCTAAAGAAATATGCAGAAAAGTATTCCGGCATTTTGGAAGGGCCAGCCGAACGTCCCATCCTGGGTAATTATGTGGAGCCTCCATCAGGGCTGGTGAATGGTCGCAAAAGCGAAAGTGAGCCGTGGCAGCCTTCTTTGAACTCTGAGAGTGTTTATCCTATGAACTGTGTCCCAGATGTTATTGTCGCCAGCAAAGCTGGAGTAAGTACTGCCCTCCCTCCGGCAGATGTCTCTGCCAGTATAGGGAGCTCACCTGGGGTGGCTAGTAACCTGACAGAACCTAGTTACTCAAGTAGTACATGTGGAAGTCATTCAGTCCCTAGTCTGCATTCAGGGCTCCCATCTCAGGAATATGCCGCAGGATATAACGGATCGTACCTGCATACAAGTTACAGTGGCCAGCCAGCACCTGCACTTCCTTCACCTCATCCCTCTCCTTTGCATAGCTCTGGGCTTTTACAGCCACCCCCTCCGCCACCGCCACCACCAGCCCTAGTGCCAGGCTACAATGGGACATCCAACCTTTCCAGTTATAGCTACCCACCAGCAAGTTATCCCCCTCAAAGTGCTGTTGGGCCTGGCTATAGCCCTGGTGGAGCACCACCTCCTTCAGCCTATCTGCCTTCAGGTATCCCTGCCCCAACTCCTCTTCCCCCCACCACAGTACCTGGGTACACCTACCAGAGTCATGGGTTAACGCCCATTGCGCCGTCGGCCCTGACCAACAGCTCAGCAACTTCTCTCAAGAGAAAAGCTTTCTATATGGCAGGGCAAGGAGAAATGGACTCCAGCTATGGAAATTACAACTATGGCCAACAGAGATCTACACAAAGCCCCATGTACAGGATGCCTGACAACAGCATTTCCAATGCCAGCAGAGGGAATGGCTTTGACCGAAGCTCTGAATCCTCCTCCTTGGGCTTTAAGCCAACCAAACAAATCATGGCTTCCGAGCAGCAAAGGAAATTTAACCAGTCCGGTCGGGCTCTGACGCCCCCTTCCTATAGTTCTGCTAAGAATTCCCTTGGCTCCAGAGCAAGTGAGCCCTTTGGGAAGTACAGCTCTCCCGTCATGAACGAACACAGCGAAGAACATAGGCAGCTTCTTCCTCATCCAATGCAAGGCCCAGGACTTCGTGCAGCTACCTCATCCAACCACTCTGTGGACGAGCAACTGAAAAACACTGATGCGCACCTCATGGACCTTGTGACCAATGAGATTATCAACCAAGGACCACCGGTGGACTGGAATGACATTGCTGGACTAGATTTGGTGAAGGCTGTCATTAAAGAGGAGGTTTTATGGCCAGTCTTGAGGTCAGATGCATTTAATGGGCTGACTGCTCTACCTCGGAGCATCCTCTTATTTGGACCTCGGGGCACAGGCAAAACATTACTGGGGAGATGTATAGCTACCCAACTAGGTGCCACATTTTTCAAACTCACAGGTTCTGTTCTTGCCACAAAGTGGTTAGGAGAAGGAGAAAAAATTGTTCACTCTTCCTTCCTGGTGGCAAGGTGTCGACAGCCCTCGGTGATTTTTGTTAGTGACATTGATATGCTCCTTTCATCCCAAGTGAGTGAAGAGCACAGTCCAGTCTGTCGGATGAGAACCGAGTTCCTTATGCAGCTGGACACCGTGCTCACTTCTGCTGAGGACCAAATAGTAGTCATCTGTGCCACCAGTAAACCGGAAGAAATAGACGAATCTCTTCGAAGGTACTTCATGAAACGACTTTTAATCCCACTTCCTGACAGCACAGCCAGGCACCAGATAATAGTACAGCTGCTTTCACAGCACAATTACTGCCTCAGCGATAAGGAGGTTGCACTGCTAGTCCAGCGTACAGAAGGCTTTTCTGGACTCGATGTGGCTCATTTGTGTCAGGAAGCCATAGTGGGCCCTCTCCATGCCATGCCAGCCACAGACCTTTCAGCCCTTATGCCCAGTCAGTTGAGGCCTGTCACGTACCAAGACTTCGACAAGGCTTTTTGCAAAATACAGCCTAGCATCTCTCCAAAGGAGCTCGATACATACGTTGAATGGAACAAAATGTTTGGTTGCAGTCAGTGACAAGTCGTCTCTCGCTTTTTTAAAAAAAAAAGAAAAGTGAAACAAAACACACACACACACAAAAAATGTAATGAATGTTGGTGCGTGCACACATACACACACACATGTACACACACAAACCTGTTACATAGGACATGGAACCCCTTTTTCAGTCGTGTTGAAGTTGTGGAAGGGTACTGGGGGTGGGGGTGGGGAGATAATCACGTTGCATCTAAAAACAGCCAGGTTTAGGCATGAAGGAATAGTACATCCGAGGAGAGCTATTGATCTGCGAAGCCACAGATGAGAGGAGGAGTCTGTTGATGTTCCGTTCCATTCCATTCAGACTAGACAACACACTCTCACCATGGAGGGTTGATTTTTTTTTAGAAGGACATGAACCCCGTGTGTTGATTCATTCGGCTGTTTTTTGGGTTTAGTTGCTGTCAAGTGCCTAACGTGGTACTTTTATTTTTTTCCCCTTTATTTTTTGCCTCACAATTACATTGGTGGCATGTGCTAATATAAAGAGCTTTAACTTCAAAATGTTATGGGACTAAAGACATGAACAGTTGTGTTGTGACAGAGAACCAGGTGTGACTTTGGTTTACTTTTGCTTTTTTTTTTTTCTTCCCCTCTTTTGGCTAGTCTAAAAGCAACTGTATTCCTCAATCCTGTTCTGTTCTGCAGTATTAAACTAAGAACAGGTAAAACAGGGTAATGGTAATCTGGACTTTAATTTCTGCGGTTTGTTTTGTTTATTGTTCTGTCTGCAAAAAAAGAAAAAAAAAAGAAAAAAAACTCAGGAAAGTGATTGTGATTTGTACAGTACCTCAAAGGAATGTGTTGAAAGCACTATGTACTGCTGAGATTTAATAGGCTAGGCTTCAATGTTACTTTATCTTAAATATGTATGTTTACCTCAATGGTTGGGAAAAAATGACAAGGAGAAATATTTTGAATGTATTAAGGAGCAAGCTGAAGCGTGCTAAAAAAGATAATCTTTAAAACTTTGAAAATACAGCAGAAGTACCCCAGTTTTTCTTTCTTTCTTTTTAACCAATATTGGGGATCAAATTGGAGCAAGGCAATTTTCATGGCAGTCATGTGTGGAAGTCCTTAGTCCTAGACAAATTTTGTGACAAGTTAGTAGAGAGCACACAGACAATAAAAAAAGTCCCTCTGTTGAATTGTCAAATCATCTGGGATAGTCAGAGACAAGATCTGATTAGGACTCTGAGAGGCAAATTACCTTAGACCACAAGATACAACTTTTGTATCTCAGCCAAGGTTGTAGCATCTTGATTCTCCCAATGCATCAGTAGCATAGAATACTTGTAGGTCACAGAGAGCTTAGGGCAGTGATGGGATTCATCCAGTTCACACCAGTTTGGCAGAACCGGTAGCTAATTTTTTGTTGCCCAGGCCCAGAATGGACTTCCGGAAGCGACATCCACACAGAGAACCGGTTGTTCACATATTTGAATCCTACCACTGGCTTAGGGACTGCAGAGCTGTTTACAGCAACACAGCAGAGAGCGACCAAACAAGACAAAATTGAACCCTCAAATGGCATCTCTCTTCCTCTTTGCTTTGCATTTTCACCACCAAATGAAAAGTTATCCCTTTGTTTTTATGTGTGTTGTTGCCTCTTCTGTTTCCTTGATGGCTTTGTTTGTTTTATTTTTAATGTGATCATTCCACAGTCATTAGAAATTTGCCTGGCTGGAAAATGCCCATCATTTTATTTCTTCCTCAGATTTTGTTTTATTTATCTTTAGAGAGGCACATAAAGAATAGGACAAGCCAGATTACCACTAGCATGCAGAGCTGTTGAAGGCCCTATTAACACATAATCCTAAGTAGGGTTCTTTGAAAACAACCAGCTTTGTGTTTGGTGAGGTTTTCTCCCAAGTAAGTGTCTGAAGAATTGCAGTCAAAAATAGAGGATCTGGAAGGGAATCATTCTGCCTCTTCTCCCTTTGGCCACCTATGGCAAATGGTGACTGTTTTCCTTCAGGAAAGAGAAGCTAGGTGGGATATGTGGCATTTTATTCTATTTGTGCCCCTGCTCCACATTGTCTCCCTTTTTTATTCTTTAATGCTTTTATGAGCAATTCCTTTCATGACAGCTGACTGATGCTGTAATGTCGCTGAACAGTAGAGCAATTCAAACCTTCCCAGCCACACGAGCAGAGAGCAGCCTCTCTCCCCCCCTTTCTCTTTTCCCTCTCTGTTTTTTTAATGTAATCTTTTGTTTACTTTAAAGAAACAGCAGCAGAACAATTACAAATCATTGGCATTTAATGTTACTTTTAAATAAGGTACCTTCAAATCCATGAAATAAATGCACTGAAGAGCTCTAATGAGAAAAAGACCAATTAGTCACCTACTTATTTTGTCTTTAAAGCTACTGCCCAATTATTACACTTGGTGTTTCCTCTGCTAAAATGTTAATTTTCATTGCTAAAAATTGAGCAAATAAACCAAAATGCACATCCTAAAAGTCCTTTTGTTCATTCTAAACTTATGGGTTGTTTCTAAAAGGCAGAGGAGTTCATTAAACAGTAAAACAGTGCCTTTCACTAAGGATATAGTAAAATAAGTCTTAATAAATGCTTTGCATTTTCAGTTAGCAAAGGTCTTTCTTTTTCTGTTTTTCTTCCCCATCTATTTCTTCCATTATATCTTTTCCATTTGGGAAGAACCACAATTCCCTTCCCCAGATTCATATTGATCTTGCAGATGGCTTTCTGATGCATATTGCTGACGAATCTTCTGACTTTTAGATATCACATTATGCTATTGTACTGCCGTCTATTTGAAAGGTTCAGACATGTTTTGAAAAACTAAATTTACAATTGTATCACCTCTGTCTATACATCCTTTAAAACTAACGTTATCTAATTTTAAGGTGACACCAAATACATTCAGTTCATGTATATAGCTACAGTATAATCCCAGTAACACTTCAGTTAGCTTTGGAATCGGCAGGTGCTCGGTTTAGCTCACATTTTACTCTGTATATTTGGGGAAAACAAATTACTGTATTCTTCCAGTGAGCTTTATAAATAAAAGACTTAATTGTGAGGTTAAGAAACTTCAAAGAGTTTGTCCTCTCCCAAAACCTTTGAATCTTATATTGCGGATTCATGGCTGAAAATATCAGGACATTTTCTCCCAATTGATAATTAGCTACAAATAGTAAGGTGTAATATTTTACCTGATACAAAAATAATAGTTTTGTTTACTGTACTGCCCTTGTACAAAATTGAGGCAAGCTTTAATCCACTCTTCGCTCTCTGCCAATGGAGATTCCCTGGTAAATAGAATCACTCAGACTTTGCCTGGTTCACTCAGAACCATTTAGTTCAACCCTGAGCTATGAATATAATCCTTTTTTTGGGCATTGCTTCTTTTTTTTGCATTTTTTAGATAAATAAGGCCATTTGTTCCTTCTGCTGCTACATTTAGGCCTATATAGAATTGTGACCATGTACATTTCATTGCAATCAAAACTCTTTCTAAGAATTTCCTTTCCAGGCTATTTGAATGTTCCACAAATGAGAAGATTAGCTTTTGAGAGGGAGTGTGATATGGCCAAAACATACTAGCATTCTGAAGAGGTAAAATGATTCAGCTGTGTTTTTCGTTTGATTGGGACTCAGGATTTTGCCTGAGTAGAGCATAAAATGATGAGGTTGTATGGCCAGATTTCACATGAGGCAGATCTTCTACACCAGGGGTCTTCAAACTTGGCACTTTTACGACTTGTGGACTTTAACTCCCAGAATTCCTCAGCCAGCATGCCTGGCTGAGGAATTCTGGGAGTTGAAGTCCACAAGTCATAAAAGGGCCAAGTTTGAAGACCCCTATTCTACACTTTGAATATAAGAAAGAGCATTAATCGTTAATACCTTTTCCACCATTACATCTTTATGATGGCTAAACTTCCATTGGCTCCATTCTCCCTTCACTTCAGGACATATAGCTTGGTTTCATGGTTTGTTGGAAAATTCTAGGAATAATTGGAGATAAATATATATCAGATCTTTCCCTTTCTACTTGAGTCAATTTTTCATTAGGTGAAACTTCATTCTCTCTCTCTCTCTCTCCTTTCCCCCCCCCCTCAGTTTTTTTTTCTGATGACAAGAATAATTATAATAGCAAAAGAAAAAGCAGGAGACTGGTTTCTGCCAACCAAATTATCACTGCCAACTGAAATCATGGCACGATGACTTTTTAAAATATATTTATAAATAAATCCTCACTTCTAGCATGCTTCCCTCCAAAATATTTAGGCCATTAAGGATAGTAGTGAAAAGTTTGCTGACTGAGCTGATCAATGGAATGTGAAGGCAGTTTGGGGCTATTTACTTTTTTTTTAACAAAATATTTCTGTATTAGTCAATTTGTATTCTATTCAAATGTAGATAGATGGGCAAAATGGTTTTCCTTGTGCATTTCAAACCCATCAAGGAGAAAATAAAACCTCCCAGTAAAACACATAGGCAAAGCACCATCTGGGAAAGCTAGCTCATCTGTCCAGGGGCTATGCTCTGCAAAATAGTACAAGGTCATTTTATATGGGTTAGCATAATACTTTGCTAGGCAATTTTCAAAAGGAGATAATCTAGTGTAAAAACCCCAATTAATTCCAACAGATGTTGGTGGATGGTAATATGTTTACATGTCAAAAGCTGCAAATAAAAGGTTTCTACTGCCTGAAAATGTGTGCAACTTTGAGTAGAGGAACAGTTATAAGTTCCACAATACGTTTCACTCTAATCTACAAATATAGATAATCTTTTGGAAAGTGAAATCTCAGAAATACAGTACACATATACACACACATGCTAGAATTGAGTAAATTTTGCAGAAACTAATCTGTACAAGCCTATCCCCGTATACCTAACCTCTCATGGTTTAGACCAGGGGTCCTCAACCTTGGCCACTTTAAGACTCGTGGACTTCAATTCCCAGAATTCCTCAGCCAGCTTTGCTGGCTGAGGAATTCTGGGAGTTGAAGTCCACAAGTCTTAAAATGGCCAAGGTTGAGGATCCCTGGTTTAGACTTTCTTCCTTAGGCCATGTGCACAAGTTACATTGATGTGATTGCCCAAGAGTCTCCTGTCTATGAAGATTCTCGATCATCCAGGTCATGATTGTCCCAAACGTGCTTTTTTCAAAAGGCAACTGGACTGTCTTTGTTTTTCCTTGAAGACATTTTGCTTCTTATCCAAGAAGCTTCATCAGTTCTGGCAGGATAGTGGGAGGGAATGGAAGGACCGTTTCCTTCCTCTCCTCTCACCATCCCGCCAGAACTGATGAAGCTTCTTGGGTAAGAAGCAAAATGTCTTCCAGGAAAAACAAAGTCCAGTTCCCTTTTGAAAAAAACACCACTGAGACTAAGAGTCTCTTGTGCATCTCTCCCATTCATTTCATCAGAAATTCCAAGGATATAACTGAGGATAGCTAACCATAAAGATCAACATGTGGTCTCCCACAGCCTTAACACCCTTCCATTTCATTATGCATGCACGTGTTTATATAATCTTTATATGGACATACACACATAATATGAGGCCGCTTTTGTTCTCTCTTTCAAGGAAAGGATGAAAGCTTTCTTTTCCTTAATCATTTGCAGATTTATACTCAAAGCACATTGGTAAACATGGAGCTAGTAATAATCCTAGACCCAAAGAAGCTGCTGCCCTGGGGAACCAGTCAGTCCATGGACTGACCCTTCCCCTTTGCAAAGATCTTTGGTTGACATTTGATTTTGAACCTGCCAGATATGTGGGGTTTTTTTGTGAACCAGGAATACTGCATCTTTAATGAACAAGCTTCTATACTTTCTCCTATTTTTAAAGGCAACACAAGTGTAGTGCTAGGCACCGCCGTTGTCAAAGACAATTAGACTGAAAGCAGAAAAATTTCACCTCCCTGCCTCAATGATACATAAAATGTCGGCAGTGTGGGTCAGTCAGCCTTGCAACCGAATTTTGTAAGAGTATATGGATCAGTCCTGTAGAATGTTAAATATTTATAAAATAGTTCTGTTCTCCACTAAGGTTGGGACTGCAGTCATTCCTTCTTGTTGTCTCATGATACACAAAGAGGAGGAGATACTTCCCAAACAAAACTTTGCTTGTATACATTTTTCCTCACCCCAAATGGTTCTTGTGGTTTACATGCAGTCCCAAGTAGTTTTGTTTGTCTCCATAGATTCCCACCACCACATTGGGTGTGTGTTCAGACATTGTTCTTTGAAACCATTTCTACCTCATTACTACATATTGTACATGTAGTATTTATTTGTTGTCTTTTTTTGAATGTCATGCATTTTGTAAGAAAGACGTGTCCTTGAACTTGAACAGTCTACCTCAGAAAGACTGTCACTACACTGAATAGTATTAACCCATCAGGACGATAAGATGCATTAGCAAAGTGTGGCAGGGCAGATAATACATGGGGACTTGGCATATTGATGGACTTTTAATTGTACTCTTGTAACACAAGATTGCTTAAGGGAACTTAAAGGAAATCATGCACTGTGCAAATCTTGATCAGTGTCCCACTTTGGGGCTTGCTCTAGGAACATCCCACTTTAATAGGATGAACCCTGATTGGGGAGAAAGAAAACATAATAAGATGCAAGATATTATTTTTTTGCATTGGCAATCTGGCTACAATCCATTACTGTTAACTGACATGCGGTCCAACTTGGCTCTTAAACTCAAAACAAATGATAGTACTTAAGGATTATTTTTTATCTTCAGTGGTGTAAAAAGAAATGTGTCACACACTGTTAAGACTGTAAGTTTCTCACTTCCTGCGTACTAAAATGAAACACAATGCATTTTGTAAGGTTTAAACATAAGCCAAAAATAAAAATAAAAAAGAGGCACTTCCCAAAGGACTTTTAAATATGGGCTTCAGTCCTGCACACAACTGCACGTGTCTGAAGTTTCATTACCGTTTACCGACATGCGCAGACATGTGCACAGGACTGAATCCATAGAGTGAAGGTGCTCATGTGTTCTGTAATCAAATAGTTTTATTGTTGATTCTGCTTTATAAACATTTGTTTTTTGGAAGTAATTGTACACAGATGGCACATTTGAAGTACTTTGTATGAAGCATTTTATATTTTATTATTTATTTTTGCATCATTTTCCCCCTCCCCTTTTGTCTCCACTAGCTTTGCATTACAGTACTATAGGAAAAGAATACATTTCTCTCTCTTTTTCTCTCTCTCATTTTCATTTTGTTTTTCTTTTGTAAGAAAATACTGAATGGGTTAAATACTCCAAATCAATGCATGGACTTTTCTAGTTGCTTGTCAGCAAATCGTGGATCTTTTTACAAAAGCAAATGAACTGTGACAATCCACAACATTCACAGATGTTAATGCAGAAATGCATTTGATTTTTTTTTTTTTTTGGTATGCCTGACAATCTGTTCTTTAAGTTCCATTAATAAAGTAGCATCAGATCTTTTATTTTGCAGTTCCTTGAAGACGCACCATTGTCTAATGGGAGGGGAATTATTTCTGTTGGTTTTCTGTGTGGGATGCCATATTTCTCATCAAATAATAATACTCCTTGTCTGGGACAGTCCCCCTCCCCTTTCAGTTAAAGCCCAACTAAATTAAAATTTTGGTGCACTTTGCTTTCTTGGGCATATTGATTTTATTTGCTTAAATTGAAACAATGTGTTGGGTTTGACCAGATTTTGACCTCTCACAAGGAGAGAAAGACTTCTATAGTATATATTTCTTTGAATTCTTCTGGTACTGTTTTTGCTTCTCTATTCATTAGATTTGAAATCATTTTTGTTGTGCATTATTTTGCATCTTCTGAAACTAAATGTGATATTACTGCACTCATTAAGGAAAAGGTGAAATGATCCATTTCTCTTGGGGAAAAAAATGACAAGCTTTAGATGATGAAAGCTTAAATTATCCCTCACTTGCAAACTGAATTCATATAATTTGTGAACATTATTAATGTAAATGAGACATTTCTGCTTGGAATTTTTTTTTATTATTTTGATGGGATCATTATATGGTTGATCATATGTGTGTAGGAAGCTGCTGTACAATTAACCTGGAGATCTGAAAATGCTTTTTTGTCCTCATTGTTACAGTTTCAATTGTAATCCATGCATCTCATTTTCTTGGGTGTTAGCACTGTAATATAAAAAAAAAAAATCAGTGCTCAGTATTGTAACTAACTGTCCCTACTGAATATTCCTTTTCATAAATACTTGCTACCACAGGGAAATTAAGTTTTCATATAGAATAACTAGTTTCAGTAGTAATCATTGAAGAATTAAAATAAAAGTTGTGGTTCAAGGCAGATATTTTTATGAAAAGTTTTCTCTATTGTAAAATTTGTTGTATATGGCTATGCTACTATCATGGAATACGAAAAAGAACAAGCATACCTCAAATAAAAGAATTCTGAGTTAAAAAAATATGCAGAGTTAAGGGTTTTTTTTATTTACCTTCCCTATCTTTTATTTTCCAAGCTACCTTTTGAATTAGCCTACATTTTAAATCCATGTCAGTGCAACTATTCAAAAGAATTTTTTTTCCAGAAATTGTTAAGTATTTTGCAAACCAAATATTGCAAGTGGCACAGAAAAGATAATAAACACCCTGATGCCTCTTCCTTAGGGTTAAACTTATGATCTTTCTCTCTGCAAAGACACACAAAGGAATCTGCAGAGGATTCAGGAAAGCTTTT